AGACCCAAGACGGATAAGGCATCATAGATTTACATGTTCTGTTCGGAGCCTGAAGGCGCGGAGGTCACCTTCTGTGACGACTGAGAAAAAGTTACTGGAATGCTCTTCGAAATTGCGCTGCAGTCAAAGGACACGATCCTCTCGAATTCTGAACTCAGAATGACTCGTCTTCAGCTGGCCACTCAGTGGAATTAACTGGACGTTGATATGATGGCATGATTCTTGCTTGCCCTCAGTCCCAATGTCGCTGGATCTACACTTCCTTTTCCCAATATGTGTGGGAACTTATGTCAGGCCAGCAGGAGAAAGAATCCCACAGAGATTAAGGGCTAGAGTGTCTCTCTCTCCCCCACCCTGTGCCTCGATGTCCAGCTTCCCGTTGAGAACAGGAAGTGAGGATGCTTCTCAGCCCTCTGGAATCTTGGATCCCCGTTTCCATGACGAGGAAAGGAAGAGGAGACAGACTTGGAAACAGGTGCTATAGCCTGGTCGCCTAGGGAGAGCTGGGATCTCCACCAGGGGATCAGACTGGAATATTTGCCTGGGCAAAAGCTGGTACGTTTTAAGCCCCCTGATGTGCCAGGGAGGGCCAACAGAGGCATAAGGGCAAGCAGGCTAGCCCTTAATGAATTTATTTGCAAGACTGGGGAAGGGGGGGGGGGGGGGGGGCTTTTTCTTGTCCTTGAGGTAGAGCCTGGTTTTCTTAAGGGGAATACCTTGGAGATGGACCTGGTGTTATCCAAGGTCCTGAAATGAAACTAGTTATGCTCAAGTGCTTTTCTGTGCCACCAAAGTCCTCCACAACTTGTAAAATTTTTTTGGTCCAAAATTGTTTATTCAAAATTGCGCCTCTGTTAGGGACCACCCAGCCAAGCAACTATTCTCTCCCATTTTAGAAAAAAAATATTTGTCACATGTTCCGATATGGACAAATGAGAGCGAGTGAAAACTTCCGACTTTTCGTGTTGTTTTTAACTAGAAATGAACTGCTGGTTGAAAAACTGGCTAGGAGAGTGGAGGGGAAGCAGTGGATGCGTTCACCATTTACATAATTATTATCCAATCCCTGCTCGTCTCTGTTTGGCCTTGAGCTGGTCACTGTCTCTCCCTGAACCTAACCTACCCTCACAAGGTGGTTGTGAGGATTAAAGATTGGCCTGTCAATAAATACCAATTCAAGCTCCTTGAAGGAAGGCCAAAATCAGAATCCGCCCCCACTCCGAAGACTCCGGGGTACAATACCTGGTCTCCCTTCCTTTGGTTTATCCTCACAACAACCCTGTGAAGAAAGCCAGACTGAGAGCATGTGACTGGCCTGAAGTTGTGAACTTCATAGCTGAGAGGGGATTTGAGCCCGAGTCTTCTGAGTTCATGGCTGACGGTGCCCTTCCCACACCAGGGCAGGAAGACAGAGAACTGGGGGGGTCATATGAGCTCTGTGGAATATTAAAATGCAAGTTCTCAGGTGTGGAGGAAGGGGACCAGCTAATATATCCGGCAGATACCCAGCAGGTGCCGATCTGATGGTTCAGACTATTTTCTCTTTCTTGGGGAACTCTAGGAAAGTGGGCAGCCCTCAGTCAGTCAGTCAGCAGGGCCAATTCTAAAACCTTGCCCGAGAGATCGGACCTGCCAGTTTCCAGGTTCAGAGCCTCCCAAATGTCTCACGTGCCTCCTCCTCCCACAAGGAGAAAGGCAAAAGGAGCGTCCCTGCCTGGAATTTGAATTCTGGCAGATTTGGGGTGGGGAGACAAGGTCTCCATTTGCAGAGAATCCAAACCGGTGTGTTGGTGTGAGCTCGGTAGCAAAGAGGGTGCGCGGAGAGGTTTACACCCTCAAGAAATACCCGTTCTTTTTTTAAAAAGGAAAAAAAACCCGGAGGTCGCTTGGAACCTGCCAACCGCATGGTATTGTCGGCAGAGCTTAAGAAGCAGTGGGCGTGATCGTGCTCTCCCCACCCTCCCCACCCCGGTCGGTTTCCTAAGCAACTTCAAGCGCAGGGAACTTACCACCTATCACTGACAATAAGCAGTCATTCTCTTCCAACCTGCCCCCCCCCCGCCATTTAATCCTTCCTGCCTTTGTAACGTGGAAAGCCACGGATGCCAAGGGGAAGGGAAGTTGAACAACAAAAAAAGAGGCAGGGGGGTAACAACCCCACCACCACCACCCTCGCAGGCTTTTCCAAGTACCTGGAGCGACTCGCTGGCTTTTGTCTGCAATTAACCGCCACCGCAGGGCGGGGCGTCATTAATATCGCCGGGCAATTACCCAGCGGCTCCGCCTGTTCAAAGAGACGGAAAATGTCACCTGCTCGGCTTTCACTGAGAGGAGCCAGCGGCCCCAGCTTCAGGCTCTTCTGAGGCCTCCTGGACAGGCACGGAGACCGGTGGCTGAAAGCCAGCCGAACACACTTGGCCGACAAAATCAGAGAAGGTGGGGTTGACGCCCAGGATTTGGGAGTGAGGCGTCAAAAAGAGGCGCTTTTTAAAGTCCCCCACAGCTGTCGAGAATGGGGTCCAAGGGGTGGGTTTGAAAGAGATGCGGCCTCATGTTTTTCGGGGAAATAAGGCCTAAAGAATTGGTTTAGGAGAATGGAAGAACTCCGACGTGAGCCAGACAAAGACTGGATTCCGTGTGGAGCCCGAGTACACTGCAGAGGGAGCTTCCAGCAGAACTAGAGGCCTAGCATGCAGGCCACACGTCTGTGTCTTTCCCAACATCACAAGGCAGGAAACAGAATGATCCTGAAAAGCACAAAGGCTCATGGAGACCCCTACCCACCACCACAGTCGGTCCTGTGTTCTAATTCTAGAGTTTTGGTTTCAGAACTTGAGCCCCTGTACATGGCAAACAGTATTACAATAACTAAAGGCTCCGGAGCTACTTGAATTCCATGCCATGTTACAAATCTGTTAATTGTTACAGCTGGCAGAACCAGCCTCTGTTTTTCAAGGGTTCTCTGAACTTTTTAAAAACAGCAAGCAAGCTTCTAGCCCTTAAGGCTGAAAAGTGTGGGAGGCTAAATCTGGTGAAATGTGAGAAATTCCCTTAGGCTAAGGAACCCTGGGAAATGCCGTTCTAAGAGGGGGCGGGGTCTAGGGATCTCTAACAGAATTCTTAGCACCTTCACCAAACTACAATTCCCATGATTCTTTGGGAGGGGAAGGATCCATGATAATTTAGTGGGCTTAAAACTCAGGGGAGGTTTGTAATAGAGTTTTTGGCTCCAAAAAAACCTGCATCTTTTAGTTGTGTGGTACTCTGCCTCCTCAACAGCTGCGTTAACGGAACCTTGTGTTGTGCAGCCTATCTGAATGCCTCGGCATGATGAAAAACCTGCAGGAAGTTTAACAACAACAAAAAAGGCAGGGGGGTAACAAGTCTCCAGTGGGGATTTAAAGCAACTCACATTGTTCACCTCTTCTCAATTTTACCCTCACAACAAACCTGTGAGGTAGGTTAGGCTGAGAGTGTGTGACAGGCCCAAGGTCATCCAGCGAGCTTCCAAGGAAGAAGTGGGGATTCGAATCTGGGTCTCCCAGATTCTAATCTGATGCTCTAACCACTATGCCATTCTGGCTCTCATAGGGATCTCTAACAGAATTCTTAGCACCTCCAAAAAACCTGCATCTTTTGGTGGCATGGTACTCTGCCTCCTCAACAGCTGCGTTAACGGAACCTCGTGTCTGTTCTGAGGAACATCGGCGGCCCTGTCTACACGGACAATTTCAACCAGTCTCAAACTGGTTGCCATTTGTGCATGGCTCTCCTCCAAAGCACCTTTTAGGAAATGTACTTAATCTCCAGGATTCCTTGGGAAAAGCCAGAATAGTTGGAGCGGCAACCAAATACGAGTTGGTAAGTGGGAACGAAACCCTTGGGAGGCCGGGAAGCTCTCTGAGAGGGCTCCGCGCTAAGCTCTCTCGTGGAAAAAAACAGCCGCCGCCTAGGATCTGAAGGAGTGAGTGGGCACAGTCTAGGAACAAATGTCGGTCACGTCGTTTCTTTACGGGGAAGATGTTTCAAAGCACCAACACGCTGCCAAAAACGGCTCTTCGGAGGCTGAAGAACCCCCGACGACCTTGCCCGAACAACCGGGCTTGCTCCCAGGGCACCCTGGATCCAAGTGTGTCTCCCCGGCCGGCCCATGTGGTCTTTCTGCTGGGAGGGCCGGCACAGATTCCTGTGGCTGCATTTCAGCTGTGGGGCTTCGCTTCATCCCTGCCGTTCCCACAACCCCCTTGACATCCTCAAAGAAAATCTGCTTCTGAGATGGGAGGGGGGACTGGTCCTTTTTTACAGCACGCTGCCTCCCCAAGTGTATGTTGCGCTCGGCCTTTGGCAGAGGTTACCCAAACAGAGCCCTGCGGAGATCTTCTCAGCCACTTGCTTTGCGAAAGGGCTGAGAATGGCTGCAAGAAGAATGCTGGGAAGTTTCCAGGAGACGCCTTGGTTCCTTGTTGCGACTGCACAGAAGGTGGACGGGTAGGGAAGGAAGGGGGCGGCCGGACCTCGGCTAACCTTTCTTCTGCGAGCTTTCTCGGAAAGACACTTAATGAATGGGGGTAAGGGGAGGATGGAACAGAACTGGGGGGGAGGGAATAGGGAGGAGATGAATAACCCCGTCGCCCACAGCACGGGGTCCACACAGTGGCACGCACCCCCCCCCCGGCTCCGTCACATCCGTGCTTCCGACCTCGGGTTGGCTTGTTTTCGATTTGAAGACCTGAGATTGAACGTGGATTCCTCTCGTCCAGCGAACGCCGCATGCAGCGAGGGGCTTTGCCGGGAATGCTCGCCCCACCCACCCATCCACCCCCCCGACCACCGAGGCACTGAAGCTGAGAGCACGTGTCGTTCCGCTTCCCGGGCGGTCCCACGCACCTGGATGCTCAGCTCCCTCCGGGTGAGGACCGAGTCGCCCTCGCACGAAGAAGACCCACCCCCACCCCATCCGTCCCCCGGCGGTTGTCCTGGTGTTGTCCTTCCGCTGCGGTTCAACAACTACTGGAGCTGGTGTAGGGGGGAGGGAAAGAAGTGGAGCTGACTCCGAGGGGACTGTCAGAGAGAGGAGTCTGGGGGGCGCCCACGCCCACGCTCACCCCCCGGGCCTCCATGACGGTGGCCAGTAGCTGCTGCTGCTGCTGGCGCAGAGCGTCCGTGATGAGGAGGGGTAGGGAGTTGAAGCTGGTGGCCAGCTGCTCCAGTTTAGACTCCAGGCCCCCGATCTGTTTCTCCAGGTCCTCACTCCGGTCGTTCAGCTCCGTGATGAGGTCATACATGACGTTCTGCATCTGGAAAACAAAGGGCGCGTGTGAAAAACGTGGAAAGCCTGGCATGCGCTGCTGGTTCCAAGAGCCAGGCTCGGCGGTCTCTATTAGAGGACTTTATTTCACCGTTAAGAATTTAGGGGGGAAAAATTAATATCTTCCAATAACTTTGATTAAAGGTAAAGGTTCCCTTGCTCGAAAGCCAGTCGAATCCGACTCTAGGGTTGCGGTACTCATCCCTGTTTCAAAGCCGAAGAGCCAGCGCTGTCCGAAGACGTTCCCGTGGTCATGTGGCCAGCATGACTAAACACCAAGGCGCACGGAACGCTGTTACCTTCCCACCGAAGTGGTACCTATTGATGTACTTGCAATGTCTTGCTTTCGAACTGCTAGTTTGGCAGGAGCTGGAACTAGAGATGGGAGCTCACTCCGTCATCCGGCACACTCGGGTCTCGAACTGCTGAACTACCGACCTTCCACAGCCTGCAGCTCAGCGTCTTAACCCCTTGAGCCACCGCAGTAAAACATGGTTGCACTTACCTGTAACTGATGTTCATCGAGTGTCTCCTGTGCTGGCACACATCTCTCCCTCCTTCCCCGCTGTGGACGAGTAATCTATTTTCCCATGGCGGCAGGATAGGACTGAGAGAGAGAGGTGCCCCCCCTCCCCTCGTCACGTGACCAAATGGGCGGGAAATGGCTCATTTCACAATTCTCTCCGAGGGGAGGGGGGACTCAGTGCTCTAGAACACTGAGGAAGCTCTTGGAATGTTCTTCCGCGGCAGGCCTGCCTTCAGGCAGTCCCATGTGTGCCAGCACAGAAGACACTCGATGAACATCAGTTACAGGTAAGTGCAACCATGTTTTGTCCTGCAGAGAGATTTGGTCCATTTTAGAATGCTCCTGCCCTTATTTTCACCCTCTCCTGATCTCCAGGCAATGATCTCTTAGTCCAGGGCTGGTGCCACATTATTTTGCGGGGGGGGGGGAGGGTAAAAGATTTGTTTTCTTTATGTCTCTCTTAGGAATGCAGAATGTACTCTAAACAGAGGATAGGGTGAATTATGTTTAAGAATTAATAGCTGAACCTCCCTCCTCCCAAAAAAAATACCAGACCTTGACCTTTTGCCTGTTTTATCCTATAAAGGAACAACTTTGTATCTTGTTCAGTATGCCAGCCTGATAGGGAGACCTGAGCACTCTCTTGAGCTCGCATCAAGAACAATCATTCTTAATAAAATTGTACACTCTGTCAGCAAAAGCCTTGAGTGAGTCTTCTCTCTCCCAGATTCATCTCGGAGAAGGGGAGGCTGCGCTGGGTTTTAGCAACATCCCCTAAGAGTCTTCACCCCACAGTCCCTGTTCTGACCCTCCTTAGTAAAGGTAAATGTTTCCCTTGCTCGAAAGCCAGTCAAATCCGACTCTAGGGATGCGGTGCTCGTCTCCTTTTCCAAGCCGAAGAGCCAACGCTGTCCAAAGATGTTTCCGTGGTCATGTGGCCGGCATGACTAGACGCTGAGGCACGGAACGCTGTTAACTTCCCACCGAAGTGGTGCCTATTCATCTACTTGCAATGTCTTGCTTTCAGACTGCTAGGTTGGCAGGAGCTGGGACGAGAGACGGGAGCTCACTCTGTCATGCTGCACTCGGGTCCCAAACTGCTGAACTACCGACCTTCCGGTCTGCAGCTCAGCGTCTTAACCACTTGAGCCACAGCATACTACCACTGTTCACAGAGCCCAGTGGAGCATGAACCCCCCCCCCCCAGTCTTGCAAATAAGTCATCTGGTGGGTACACGAGAGAGGGCCTTTTCAGTGGCGGCCCCACGACTATGGAATAATCTCCCCAGGGAGGTGCGCCTGGCCCCCCTCACTTTCGATCTTTAGGAGTTAGCCGAAGACAAGTTTTATTTAGGACTGCATTTGATTAAAGCAATCCTAACCTGTGATTTTTAAAAATGGTTTTATGTGTTTTTATGGCCTTTATTTTATGATTCTTATAGTTATATTGCAGGCCACCTTGGGAAAAGAAGAGAAGAGGAGATTGGATTTATATCCCGCCCTTCACTACCCAAAGGTGTCTCAGAGCGGCTTACAAACTCCTTCCCTTCCCCTCCCCACAACAGACACCCCGTGAGGCAGGTGGGGGTGGGAGAGCTCTTGACAGAAATGGCTCTTTTTCAAGGACAGATCTTATCAGAACTACGGCTTGCCCAAGGTCATCCAGCCAGGTGCAAGTGGAGGAGGGGGGAATCAAACCCGGTCCTCCCAGATTAGAGTCCGCGCACTTAAGCACTACACCAAACTGGCGGAAGCCAGCTTGGTATAGCCCAATCTTGTCAGAACTTGGAAGCTAAGCAGGGCTGGTACATGGAAAGAAGACCACCAAGGAAAGCTCTGCAGAGGAAGGTAATGGCCAACCACCTCTGCTTCTCACTCACCTTGAAAAGCCCCTTGCTGGTTTGCCATAAGCCGGATGCGTCTTGACAGCAGTTAACACACATACAAGCCACCTTGAGTTCCGTAAGGAAAAATGGTGGCTAATAAACGTTTTAAATCTAGAATACATAAAAGGCATGTCGTGCTGGCGACGACTCACCTACTTTCCCATTGGCCACTGGGGAAGCTGCCTTGGCGTCCCACTGGCCTGTCCCGCTGTCTCCTCCATTCTTACACCCCAACTTTTGACACACTGCACCTTGGGAGTTGTAGTTCTCAGCTGGCCTTGCTGCAACCATAGCAAATGGAATGAGAACTACAACTCCCAATTTGGGAGTCCCAAGAGCCCGTGGGGCATTAGCAGTGAATCAGGTGAAGTGTTAAACAGTTAAACTGTTTAATAACGGGGGTTGGGGGGAAAGGGAAGGCCTGGACATCTCCGAGAGATCAGTCCCCCTGGAGAAAATGGTTGCCTTGGAGGGTGAGCTCTGTGGAAGTATACTTCACTGAAGTCCTTCAGCAAACCTGGCTCTCCCCCAAAGTATTACCAACCTCCAGGCAGCACCTGGAGATCTCCAGCTATTACAACTGATGTCCAGATGACCAAGATCAGTTCCCCTGGAGACAGTGGCTGCTTTGGCCAGTGGACTCTATGGCATTACACCCTGCTGAGGTCCCTCCCCACCCAAAACCCTGCCCTCCCCAGGCTCTGTCCCTCAAATCTACAGGTATTTCCCAACCCAGAGTTGGCAGCCCTGTAACTGGCTACAGAACCGCTTTCTGGACCTTTGGAACTCAGAAAACACAGCATAGGAGGAGGCGCTTTTCTACCTTAGCTGCCACTGCATAGCCCCAAATCAACATAAGTCAGCCTCCAAGCAACACCTGGAGATCTCCAGCTATTACAACTGATCTCCAGATGAGCAAGATCAGTTCTCCTGAAGGAAATGGCTGCTTTGGAGGGTGGACTGTATGGCAGGGGTGTCAAACTCATTTGTTCTGAGGGCCGGATCTGACAGAAATGTCTCTTTCTTGGGCCAGGCCACGTGTGCCATAAAACGGAATGCCAGCTACCGGAGATATAAACTGTATAAAGGACAGCAGCTGGTAAGCTCCAAGTTGGCGTATTCTTACTGCAAGGCCCTATGGGCATGGTGGGGATATAGAGGAAAACTCACATGGGGCAGAATGGAGAGCCAGCTGGACGCTCTCACACTGCTTGACTGCTGCAGATGAGGTTGTTCTGCCATGCTGAAGCCACAAGCGGAGTGGCTCAACCCACTCCCTTCCCCGAGCAGTCTTCTGTTCCCTCCCTTGCACCAGTTGCTCGCGGGCCGCATAAGAGCCCTGGACGGGCCAGTTCTGGCCCCCGGGCCTTATGTTTGACACCCCTGCTCTATGGCATTATCCCCTGCTGAGGTCCCAGCCTCCCAGCGGGCCTTGGAAGTCTCCAGGGAACCACCACTTTCGGCTGCCAACCGATTGCCCTACATACATGCGCAACCTCACCATACAGCCTCAGTGATTTACCATCACAAGAAGTTCCCAGGGCAAAAAAGACAGCTCACACCAAGCCAGAGCTGGGACACTCACCTGGAGCCTTTCTAGAGCCCACTTCCCACAATGGGCCTTACTCCTAATAAAGTAATAAAAGAAGGCTGCTGTGGCCATAAGAGAACATAAGAGAAACCAATGCTGGATCAGGCCAGTGGCCCATCCAGTCCAACACTCCGTCACACAGTGGCCAAAGATACAAGGGGCCATTGGGAGGTCCAGCAGTGGGGCCAGGACACTAGAAGCACTCCCAACTTACCTATAAATCCGGAATTAGTACTGCTAGACTTTTGGGAGGACAGAAATATCACGAAAGCAAACAGAGACCTGATATCAACCTTATTGATGGTGGCCAAATCTGTAATCACTAGTAACTGGAAAAGAACTCCTCCACTATCCCTTCATCATTGGTATGTAAAAATCTGGGAGTACTATACAATGGAGACATTAGCCACAAAATCCATCCTACTAACTCCTACAAATCACAGTCCCTATTTTATGCAAAATGGCTCCCATTTATTGAAGCATCATTTACAGAATCAATAATACCTTCTCACACAATCCCCCAACTATATAAAGAGGTAATAATGGCATTTTGATCTGGCTTATCAATTCAAACGATATATACTTAAGTGCAAAATACTAGGGTCAACATAATATTAATGTTATTAATAATTCCTATAGTTAAGGGTTTAAATGGTTATTCTTGTAATGATGTAATACGTATTCTTCATTAAGTTTATTGTATCTGTTTTACTCATGAAAAGTACATCACTGTTTATATGTTTTAAAGTTAAAAGTTATAAATAAAATGTTTTTTTTTAAAAAAAAAACCTGTTGCCCCCCCCCCCAGCCCCAAGAATACAAAGCATTACTTGCCCAGACCCAGAGTTCCTATCTAGACCTTGTGGCTCATAGCCACTGATGGACCTCCGCTCCATATGCTTATCCAATTCCCTCTTGGAGCCATCCATGCTTGTAGCCACCGCCACCTCCTGGGGCAGTGAATTCCATGTGTTAATCACTCTTTG